CCCGAGCCTTCAAACGAAGGGATAGCTAAATGTCCCTCGCATGTGGCGAGTCATCAACAGGAGAGTCGACATCAGACGGTAGAGGCGCAGCCACAGGTGTAACATCTCGGATGTGCTTGCCAGTCAAGAGGCGGGGATCAACAGTATAGCAGAGTTGGACAGATAATCTTGCTTGGCATTGGGACTAGGCCCTGCGTTGTCAGAACTCCAAAAATGAGATTAGGATATGGCAATCTTACCTTCTCTTCCCTCAGATGAATCAAGGTGAGAAAATGATAAAAGATCCACTTCCCCATATCAATGGTCATTTTGGTGCCAATTCGAAACAATAGAGCAGCCAGTTGCTTGCCAACCGTATGAAAATGAGCAGAAGGTAGCCAATTGTGTAAGGCAATACGGTGCAGAATAACATATTTGGAGGTGAGCTTCGAGCTAGACAGAGTATCAACATCACCTGTAGGCCATACAGGAGTTTGACCACCGGTGAGGGTTCTTGCAACTAAATCCCAATCCGTAATCTCTTCCTCATCAATAGCCTTCAGACCATAGTACTCATTAATCACATTCGGACCGAAAACATACCATTTTCCTCTGACGAAAATCTGCATGCACCGGGTCCCTGTAAGATTGTCAATTTCTTCATTCAGCTTGCAGTAGAACTCATAGGTCAGTAGCTTTGAGTAAGGGCAAATGGAGGTGACTGTCTTCATGAGGCCAACTTCACTGAGCAAGGACAAAATGTCACAGATAGAATTCAACTGATTCTCGTCAACCGATCGCTGAATTATAAGTTCCCGTCGAACCATCGTAGACCATTTTCCTTGAGCTGTAGCAGAAACAAACTGAGGTTTATAAATCGTTGTGTCAGGGTTGTCCGAAGCAGCTTGGACATCAGGAGTAACACTCCTTCCTCTCGACCTTGTAGTAGGTTTCATCTTTCTGGTAGAGGTGGTGGAGACCGTAGCAGGTGCCTTGTTCTTGATAAATGATCTCAGAGTTTTGAAAACCTGTTGGACAGGTGGATCACTTTCAGCCTTGACGGATTCAGCAGATCGTCGTCTTTTCTCAGGTTAAACAGTATCAAGATTATCATCACCGGTTTCAACTGCTACTCTCTCAGGAATTCCTTTGCGTTTCGATTTTCTAGTCTCTATGGATGGAGAATGACCAGTTGGGCTTGGTGAGACAGAGTGGCTTGTTTCTGACACCGGAGCAGATGAAGAGCCAAGAAGTTTGGAGACTTCTCCAATTTTGAAAGTAGTCGTGTCTGGATGTGTTGTTGCTTCTACTGTAAGAGGTTCAGACAATTGAGCTTGGGGACCATAAACTTCAGCCAGTATTTTCTCATCATCACTGTCTATCTGTACAGAGGGATCATCAGGGTGAATGACTCTATAAGGTTCCGATACAGAAGCAGATGGTAAATCGGCAAAGTGACGGATGTGGTCAAGGCTTTCAGCCAAAGAGGTTGAAGTATAAACTGGAACTCCATCAATTTGATCAGAGGGCCGAGGGCTTGAGAGTCTGGCAGCCTCAATTTCAGTCGACACCTTAGGAGAAACATCAACCGGGCAAACCTCAACCGGTGACTTAGCAGCATCAGATATGGGCACAGGAGGAATAGCAGATCGCGCAATATCAGCAGAGTACACAACTAGACTCAAATTGTCTACCTTATCATCAGAATCACTGTTAGGGACAACTTTTGTCGACTCCAAATTTTCAGAAGATACACGAAGAGGATCATCAGACACAGAGGATTTCACAGACAAAAAAGCATTCTCATTATCGGATTGTGCAACTGGCAGAGCAGATTCAATATCATCAGAAATTAAATCATCGGGCTTATCAGGAGATATCTCAATAGGGGTTTCAGAAGTATTAGACCTGTTACGAAGAATGTCAAGACGGTGTTTGGCTTCTTCCTGTGCAGCTTGAAGATAGAGAGGTTGAGCTGTTATCCGTCGACGCGAGACTTCTTCAGATTCCAGAGCCCTCCGGGCGAAATATTGGAGGAAAGCCCCAGCACGGTTTCCATCGTCAGGATCAGGAATGGACGCAGGGCTAACATCATCACTCGCTTCGGAGGCCAACATCAAGAGGTCATTTTTATCTTCGTCGGACTAATCCGCATAGAACTCTGGGTAATTTGAGAGCACTGTGACCACGATTTCGTCGCGGAGAACAGGGTCAAGCTTCAACTTCTTTTTCATAGCGAGTTGGAGAAGAGTTTTGACATGCTTCGTGGCTATTTCTGGTGAATGAACTTTCCTTCCCAGCGTAATGATAATATTTCTCACAGCATCCGCCATTATCGTGCGATTTGGGAAGGAGAAGAAAGAAACCCTAGGTGTGAAATCAGTAAGCCAAGAACAGAGAGCAATGTAGAATTGTGAACTGTTCCTTCAAAAGAATGAGACCCGATCAAATACACAATCCCAAGGGTGATGAACACTATTTAATGCGATTGTCATACTGCATGCAGCTGATGTGATTGACGCAACGGTATAGCTCCTTTTTAGGGATTAAACGGATGATTTGAATTTTGAAAGAGGCGAATTAATTTTGGTAACCAAGGTTAAGAAATAATCTTAACATAAACAGAAGGGAGACTAAAAAGGAAGTCAAATATGGAATTTTGACCCGTGATAGAGATTACCATACACTCTCCTTCTGTATTATCATTCTGCCTTATAGATAATCCTGCAGATTCCCAGAGCAGATCTGAGAATCTCAAACCGATTTGCATCCAGAGGCTTAGTCAGTATGTCAGCCAATTGCTTATCTGTTTGAATATATTCCAATTCTATCTCCTTTGATTCTACCAAGTCTCTGATATAGTGATGTCTTATATCAATATGCTTCGTTCTGGAGTGTTGAACTGGATTCTTTGAAATGTTTATTGCACTGACATTGTCACAGTAGAGTGTCATCGTCCGTTGTGTGATACCATAATCTAACAGCATTTGCTTCATCCAGACCAATTGAGTGCAACATCCTTCAGCTGCTCTATATTCTGCCTCTGCAATGCTTAGAGAGATTGAATTCTGCTTATTGCTTAGCCATGAGACTGAATTCTTTCCAACAAAGAAGCATCCACCTGATGTATTTTTTCTGTCATCTATATTGCCTGCCCAATCAGCATCACAATATGCACTTAGGCTGAGTTCACTGTCCTTGGAATACCATAACCCATACTGAATTGTGCCCTTGATGTATTTCAAGATCCGTTTAGCAGCTATCAAATGTGACTCTTTGGGATCAGATTGATATCTTGCACATATCCCAACACTGATATCTTGCTGTCAAATAAAGCAGACTTTCGATTAGGCTTCGATAGACTGTGTTATCAACTGACGCACCAGTGTCATCTTTTGATACCTTTGTGGAAGTGGCGATAGGAGTTCTGGGAGTTTTACATGATTCCAGATTGAATTTTTTTACCAAATTCTTGGCATACTTTTCTTGTGAGATAAAGTAGCCTTCAGCACTCAGTTTGACTTGAAGTCCTAAGAAATAAGTCAGTTGGCCTACCATGGACATTTCAAATTCTTCCTTCATAACCTTCACTAAGTCATCAGTATATTTCTATAGAGTAAATCCAAAGACAATATCATCTACATAAATCTGAGCTATAGTCACATGACTTCCAGTGGTTTTAACAAACAAGGTCTTGTCAACACTCCCTCGGCTATACCCATGATGTAGTAGATACTGTGTCAGACGTTCGTACCATGCCCTTGGAGCTTGTTTAAGCCTATAGAGAGCTTTTCTAAGCTTGTAGACATGCGTCGGATAAACTGGGTCTTCAAAACCTTTAGGTTGTGCTACATAGATATCTTCATTTAGATACCCATTCAGAAATGATGTCTTAACATCCATCTGAAATAGTGTGAAACCCAGAATACATGCAATTGCCAATAAAATTCTGATTGACTCCAGTCTTGCAACAGGAGCAAACGTTTCATCATAGTCAATACCCTCAATTTGGGTATATCCTTGAGCAACCAACCGAGCTTTGTTTTTGCAATATTTCTGGCTTCATCAGTTTTATTTTTGAATATCCACTTTATTCCAATTATGTTAACTCTCTCAGATCTAGGTACCAAATCCCACACATGATTTCAGTCAAACTGATATAGCTTCATCCATAGATCATCTTGCAAGGCTTCCTTCACATTTTTTGGTTCTATCTTTGAGGTGTAGCAGGCGGATCCGGATATCTCTATCAAATTGCTTCTCATTCGACTCCTGGTTTTCATTCCATCAGTTGGATTACCAATTATGTTGTCTGATGGATGGTTTTTCTGAGTTCTGGTGGGTTTGTTTTTACCATCACCATCCGAGAGAGGATTCTCCTGTTCAGGACTTCCTTCATTTTCCTTTGACGCATCATGAGTGTCGGACAGTTTTGTTCCCTCAACTGTTTTCAACGACTCATCAATAGGGAGATCTGTCTCTGGATCAGGTACCGATGTTTCATTTGATTCTTCTGGATTGTCATTTATAATAACGTTCACTGATTCCATGACCGATTGAGTTCTTTTGTTGTATACTCGATAAGCTCGACTATTTGGAGAGTACCCAAGAAAGATGCCCTCATCACTCTTTGGGTCAAACTTTCCTCTTTGTTCCCTATCAATTAGTACATAACATCTTGTTCCAAATACTTGAAAGTACTTTAAATTTGGCTTCTTCCCTTTCCATATCTCATATGGTGTCTTAGACGTATCTGGTCTGAGGTATACTCTATTCACAGTATGACATGCTGTGTGTACTGCTTCAGCCCAGAAACGTTGTGGCAGATGCGATGCATGTAACATAACTCTAGCCATTTCTTGTAAGGTCCGGTTCTTTCTTTCCACCACACCATTCTGTTAAGCTGTTCTGGGAGCTGAGAACTCATGAGCTATACCATTTTCAGAACAGAAATCTGAGTATAGAGAGTTTTCAAACTCTTTCCCATGATCACTTCTCATCCTTTGGATTTTTATTATTGGTTAATCTTTTTCTTTCTGCACTCTTATGCATAGAGTCTTGAATGCATTGAATGCCTCAGATTTTTCCCTCAGAAAGTATACCCAGCTGAACTGAGAGAAGTCATCTACACAGACAAAGATGTATTTCTTTCCGCCAATGCTTTCAGTCTGAGTTGGTCCCATGAGGTCTATATGAACTAGTTCTGGACATCTCTCAGTAGTGATCACTTTTACAGCTTTGTGAGGAGCCCTTATTTGCTTTCCAATTGCACATGCTCCACAGACTCCTTCGTGTTCTATTTTGAGCTTTGGTATCCCACGAACAGCATCTAACTTGATCATTTTATCCATATCTCTGAAGTTTATGTGACCCAATCGTCGATGCCACAGTTTTGATTCATCTGTTTTAGATATTAGACATGCAGTTTCATTGGTCAGAACGTAACAATTGTCAGAGGATCGTGTTCCTTCCATTACCACTTGGTCTGCTTTATCACGAACTCAGCAGCAGTCACGATTAAAGCACACGTTCCAATTTTGATCACACAGCTGACTGATGCTAATGAGATTTGCTTTCAGTCCACTGACTAAGAGAACTTCATCCAGATGTGGTAAACCTGGAACATTTAGGATACCTTTTCCAACAATCTTTCCTTTTTGCCCGTCTCCATACGTAACTGATCCACTGCTAGGTTGAATAGACATGAGACACTTGACATTCCCAATCATGTGTCTGGAACATCCACTGTCGAAATACCATCTTGTTGCAGTCATAGAGGCGGTCAGAACGATTGTGGGGTAGCAGATTACTTCTGATTTCCTGACCCAAACTTGTCTCACGAAGGGAGTAATGGACTTGTTCTGATATTTCTCCTTCCTTTGATCTTTGTAGAAGAAGTAACATTCAGGTCGGGTATGCCCTTTTTGTTTGACAGTAGTGACAGATGGGTATGTATTGTCTGACTTTTACAAGCTTGGTCCTGAACCTTGAGTACTGGGAATGTATTTTGAATCTGCCAGATTGAGGGTCAGCAATCCGAGTGTGTATGATCCCTTTCTGTTTTATCTGTGATGATTGACTTTGATCATAATTGTGAAATGATCTATCTACTGATGTTCCTTCTTTTATAAACATAGGTGCCATCTTTGAGGACTCTCCTCGTTCAAAACCAAGTCCCTTTTTGTCATTGGGATTTCGACCAGAATCCAGAATTTTGTCTAAGGTAGAGGTGGTATCCATCATCTTGATTTTCTTCTTCAGATCCTCCAATTCCTTTATCAATTTTCCCTCTTGTGATCTTATCTGGGTAATGAGATCTTCTTTTAGGACGAGTTCAGTAGATAGTTTCTTCAGGTGATCATCTCGTTGCTTCAGATCGTCATTCAGACTCTTGTTAACTTTCACCAGTTGTTCCCAACTTCCAACTAGTTTAGCAAATTCCAGTTCCAGTTGTGTATGTCTCTCTTCAAAGTCATCTGATGGTATGTAAGATTCTTCATCGGTATCATTCTCTTCTGATGATATAAAGAAGGCCACGAAGTTTCCCACATTTTCATCAGCCTGATCATTTGCTGCTTCATCTTCATCATCACTGAGGGTAGCTACCGACATAGCTTTCTTCCTTTTGAGATAAGTTGCACATTCAGATTGTATATGTCTGAATCCTTCACACTCTCGACATTGCACTGATCTGTTTAGGGGTCTAACTGTGTCAGTCGAATTACTTCTGATTTGTCTTGTTCGGCCACTTTGAGACTGACTGTTCTGTGAGAAGGAAGGCGTTTCTGTTTTCTGATATGAGGAGTTTCCACTTTTGTATTGTGTCCTGTTGGGTTGTCCTTGACTCCTTCGGTTGATGCCTTTCAATATTTTCTTAAAGTTCTTTGTTAGTAGGGCCAAGGCTTCGTCATCAATTTCATCTATGTCAGATTCTCGATCAGCTTCGGCAACAAAAGCTACTGACTTGCCTTTTCTGTGATTATAGGTTCATCATCAGCTAGCAGTTCAAGTTCATAAGTGTGTAAACTTCCCATAAGTTCACCCACACTCTTTTTCTCCCAGCCTGAGTGTTCTTGAATTGCAGTCACCTTCATTCAAAAACGTTTGGGTAAAGATCGAAGGATCTTTTTGACCACTCTTTCATCAGTAAAAGGTTCACCAAGTACTGGGGCTCTGTTCATCAAATTCTGAACCCGACTGTGAAAGGTTGAAATCGTTTCCTCTTCACCCATACTGAGAGATTCAAATTCTGATAATGCCAACTGAAGTTTTGACTGCTTGACATCACTGGTACCTTCGTATCTGGTTTCAAGAGTGTCCCATACTCGTTTTGCTTCTTTTATTCCGGTGACAAGAGTAAAGACTGATTCATGCAGAGATCCAACAATAGAATTTAGTGCCTTATTATTTAAATCAGAGGACGTCATCTCTTCTTCAGTCCATGTCTCAATAAGTTTGGCCCCAGCAGTTCCATCAGCATTCTGAACTGTCGGAGGACTCCATTCAGTGAGGACAGTACAGTATACTCTGGTACCTTGTGCCTGAAGATAAATCTCCATTCGAGCCTTCCAGAAAGAATAGTTGTGGCCATCCAATTCAGGTGGTTTCATGCTTCCATCCATCCTGAATCAAAAAGACACCCAGCCAAAAAACACAGGCAGAAAGCAGACAAATACCCAACAGACAACAAGATAAACAGCTTCTTAACAAGAGAAAAATGCAAAACAAAACTTCCCGTAAGGATCAAGTCATTGTGTAGACTTAAAAACTCTGATACCACATGTAATTTTGCATTTTCCCAGATTAAGATAATTATTAGCAATAAGCACTGTTGTAGAAGACTGACTGATGTGACGACGTGAGATGTCAGTCAGACAAATAGATAAAAGATTAGTTTGTCGAGGGAAAACTAAAACAGACAATAAAGGCACACAAACGATGTTTACCCAGTTCGATACAGTGTGTATCTACGTCTGGGGGACGATCACCGAGGCGTCCAATACACTAACTCATAATCCAATGTACAAAGGTAGAGAAACAAGAATCTCACCCAAGTGTCCCACACAAGGTACGTACCCAGTCTACAAAGGTTTAGTGGATTGTTGAAGGCGGAGAGCCACGCATGCAGAAGTCCAACGAAATCCCTTCGATTGGAGAGCTAACTCTGATGCAGTCCACTTCAATGACGCAGTCCCACGTTGTTCCCACAACTGGGTGATCTTCGCGTCCTTTCGTTTAAGCAACGATAGTTCTTCTCAAGTTCTTCATCATAATCACCAAGAACATATACCCTTGAGAAGAGGCATAATTAAAGATGTGATCTTATGTATAGCAAGGAGTGCTTTTTTGTCTTCTTAAAACGTAACCCTAATTCTTGACCGAATGAAGATACTTATACTTCCTTGGTAAGAACACTCTCCAAAAATATCTTTGATTGTAGATGGTAGGACAATTTGTGAAGAATGCAATCTTAAAGATTCGGTCCATACCTTCCAAAACAGATCCGCTGATATTCTTTCCAAAACTGTCTTCTCAAACCGCGTTCAGCATTTTGGAAACATCTCCCTTTATCAGATCTTCAGTGTCAGTGCGTCTGTTGAAGTGTCTGATCAATCAGTCTTTTGTAAAAGTAAACAGACACCAAACTAAACCCTATCTTAGTTTGCCATAATAATATTGCCAATTATATGTTGGGGTTTTATGGAGAAAAACAAAACACTAACAAGCCTTGTCAGGGGTTGGGCTATTTTGGTGAAATCGGGTACAAATCTTCGATAGTAACCGTCCAACCAAAGGAAGCTCCTAACCTCTGGAACTACCTTTGGTGTGGGCCATTCCTTGACTGCGCAGATCTTGGTTGGATCTACCCTGATCCCCTCATTGGTTAACACGTGGCCCAGGAATGCCAAGCTGTCCTTCCACAATTCACAGGGTATAGCTGATTTTCCCCCAGGGTTTGTAAGGTTGTGCGGAGGTGCTTCTCGTGTTCCTCCTTGTCTTGTGAGTAGACCAAGATGCCGTCGATGAATACAATCATTGTAACACCCCATGTTACGATCCCTAAAACCAATTAATCATTTAACCAATTACCCAAAAGAAAGAATTAAATCACAATAATTAAATTAGGAAAGGCCCACCATAGTCCATGCGCCCTTATCCCTAAACCCAATCCTTAGTCCCAAAAGGAATAGAATTAGCAAGCCTATAATATTAATTCCTAATTAGGACTCCTAAATATATAAATAGGGGACTTAAGAGGCACCTAGAACCCCCCCACCACAATAATCCCTCACCACACAAGAAGTTCCAAGAATTCCCTTAGGAGAAATCAAGAAAGAAGAAAGCTTCAAGAAAGACCCTTCATAGCTAAGGAATTAATTAAGGCTAAAAGGTAACCCATGTCTCAACAAAACCTATTTTCATAGCTATGATTCCCCTCTTAGGATTTCCCCATATTATTGTGTATTGATGATTTGTGATATTATTATTGATGATTGGTGGGATGATTCCATGGGTGATCTTGATGATGAGAGGTTCTTGATAATTATGGTGTTCTTGACGATTATATAACGTTCTTGATAATTATATGGTGTTCTTGATGTTCTTAATGATTATATGAGGTTCTTGATAGTTATATGATATTCCTACCGAATCTTGATTTTAGAAGATGAATTGTGTTCTTGTTGATTTAAAAATAATTAGAACCCTAGGTTATATCGTGGAATCCGTATGGTATTATTCTTGGTATATTGGGTGGGAATTCGCATGATTGGGTGTTTAGAAAAGCATGATAGGTTATGTTCCATATGTTTCTTGATTTTGATCCGTTAATTGTCCACGTGTGTTATCAATTGCGTTTGAAAGTGTCTAAGCATGGTTTCGGGTTCCACAAAGGTTCCCGGGGCGTTTTTGGTGAAAAAGAGTCAGTGGGGGGTAGGTGGGAGTAGGGGACCCGCCACCTACCCGCGGCCTATTTGGGCAACGCCGGCTGGGCAGCTGCCCGCCGGGCACCCGCTGCCCGGAACAGTGCCGCCAGCGGGCAGCCGGCGGGTGACCCCTCACCCACCGGCTACCCGCTAGTTTGTACCCAATTTGAGATTTTGGCTTCCCCGTTTGATGTTCCCCTGACCCCCGTGGTGTCCCAACGGACTCCGTTTATCGTGCCTATGTCTAGTTTGATATTTCGGGTACCGTTCGTAGGTTGTATGAGTCTTATATATTGCATGCTAGTTGAATTGGTATCCCGTTGACCTAGGTGAAAGAAGTATGAACCCCTTAGGATTATTCTTAGTATGTGAAGGATCACGCATAGGTTTTGTTATACGCTTTCTCCCCCTTCCCAATGTGTTAATGTGGGTTGCATGTGCTTGCTATGTGTTATGTGTGCATGATACCCCAATTCGGTTGCGATCGGATTGGTTATTCCTGAGCTGCGGTTCAGAAGCTGGCTGCGGTCAGATTTACACTCCCGGGCTGCAGTCCACCGTTTGGTTGCGATCAAACGTTTCTACATGAGCTGCGGTTCATATTTCCTGGCTGCGGTCAAATGACATACTCTTGGGCTGCGGTCCACTATTTGGTTGCGATCAAACTATGATGAGCTGCGGTTCATCGGTCGGTTGCGATCGACCCCTCCGTGTTGCGATACGGGGCAGGGTGCTGCGGGGCCGTGTCAGAGCTATATGCGCTGACCCTCATGTATGGGCATGCAATTGGTCCTGTGGCGCCAACAAAGTGTGCTATGTGATGAGATACGGATGAGTGGTTGTTATGAGTGTCTTGGGGATGTGACTATGGGATTTATACTAGGAATCGTATATGTTGGGTTATGATTATTAATTATGCTTATCTTTACCTGTCTTGCCTGTTTGTAAACTATATATGTTTGGTATAACTGTTGTCTGTGCTTAGCTCTATCTGTCGAGTCTACCCCTGTTTTAAAAGCTACAGTTCGTAGGATATATCTTCATGTTCAAAATGGTTTTCGTATATCTATATATATCTCTATATGTATTGTATTTCAATGTGTTGGAGTGGGTTACCAGCATCTCTCGCTGAACAGATATATTTGGCTTTCAGGCACAGACGAGTAGATCACTGGAGCGCGCTAGAAGCTTGGGGCGTAGCTTAGATAGTTTTGCCTTTCGGCCTGCGTGTCATGATTTAGTATTGATACTGATTGAGGTTTTAGAATTTAGCCTGTGCACCCGAGTTCTCTAGCTCGGGTGTGGCATAGCACCTCGTACTCTTTGTATCGTATTTTGGGATTTAATGAGATTCTATCTTTATTATATAAGTTTTAAAAGTCTTGAAAATCTGGGGTGTTACAATCATGAAGTCATCAAGGTAGGGTCGAAATACACGGTTCATGAGATCCATGAATACTGCGGGCGCATTGGTTAGCCCGAATGGCATTACTGTGAACTCATAGTAGTCGTAGCGGGTTCGGAAGGCTGTCTTTGGAATGTCTGGGTCGCCCACTTTTATTTGATGGTATCTGGATCTCAAATCGATTTTCGAGAACACCCCTGCTCCCTTGAGTTGGTCGAACAAGTCGTCTATCCGAGGGAGGGGATACTTGTTCTTTATGGTAACCTGATTTAATTCCCTGTAATCAATGCATAATCGCATGCTTTCATCTTTCTTTTTGACGAACAGTACCGGTGTTCCCCATGGTGAGGTGCTGAGGCGTATGTACCCTTTATCTAACAAGTCCTGTAGCTATGCTTTCAGTTCTTGCATTTCTTTTGGTGTCAGCCTATAGGGTGGCTTTGAGATAGGGGCAATGCCTGGCACCAAGTTCACAGTGAATTCCACTTACCTGGGTGGAGGTACTCCGGGGATTTCATTTGGGAAAACGTCCGCGAATTCGTCCACTACCGGAATTATCTGTGGTTCATTATTTTTGGCATCCAAATCTTCAATTGAGAACAAAAAGGCTTCGTGCCCTCTTGTTAAGTACTTCTTCATTTTCATCATGTTCACTATTTTGATTTCTGAATTTTTGGGGGATCCGCGGTAGGACACCCATTTCCGTTCGGTCCCCCCAAGACCACTTTTTGTTCGCCGCATAGGATCTGTGCCTTGAATTTCCCCAGCCAGTCCATTCCCAAGATTACCTGTATTCCGTCCAACTTGAACTGGATTAGATTGCTAGGGAATTCTATTCCACCGATGGTGATCATTATGTCCTTGTACATGCGATCACACTTCAACACTTCGCCTGATGCCACTTTGACTCTTAGTTGTACCCCTGTACCTGTGGTTAAACCGAGCCTTGCGGCGAATTCGACTGCTATGAATGAATTGGTGGCTCCTGAATCAAATAGTACAATGGCAGGAATGGTGTGCACGAGGAAGGTTCCGGTGACTACGTCACTGTGTCCGATTCGGGCTCTACTCAAGGCAAGGATCCTTCCATGGGTGATTTCCGTCCCCTCCTCTGGGACCTGCGCCATTGTCTTTTCCCGGTTTTGGGGCAGGGTGGCCCTAGCAACCTTTAATCTCTGTGAGGGGTTGCGTGGCTTCCCTCGACTTTCCTTTTGTGTCCCTCGTGTGTCCCCCGTGGGTTGCGTGGTACCTGTTGGAGTTTGGTTGCCTTAGCGTAGGCTTCCTCGAGTGTCTTTCGTTTGTTTGTGGTCAAGGCCTTTCGGCTTTCGAAGTTGAGCCCGGCAACGAACTTTTCTACTCTGAAGGCTTCAGTAGGGACCAACTCGCTGGCGAAGCGGGTCAGCTCAAGAAACTTCTTATGGTATTCCTCTACTATGGCGTTTTCCCTGTCTCAGGTGTAGGAGTTCTTCGCTCTTGGCCGTACGAATGCGTTGGGGATGGAAACGTTCTCTCAGTTTGGTTTGCAAGGCCGACCAGCTCATGCCTGGTTCTGTTTGTGCCCACCACACGTCGGCCTCGTGCCGAAGGTAGAATGAGGCTATCTTGGCTTGTCGTTCCACTGGACAATCCGTCATTTCGAAGATCTTATTGAAAGTCCGAACCCATTCCTCGAGTGCCTCAGGGTCTTCTTCGCCGGCGAACGAAGGGGGGTTGTATTCCCTGATTCGGCGTACTAAGTCGTGGTCTCCACCTATTGGGGCTGGATCATTATTGGTTGCTAAGGCGTGGTTCAGTGTTTGAACGATCTGGGTTTATCGCTGCAGGTTATGGGTCAGGAGATCGTGCGTGTGGGGTCCTGGTTGATCTCCTGATGGTGTCATCCCGGTTGTCTATAGATTTAATACCGGGCGTAGGCATGAGTTAGAGATTTGCGTCCTTGTCTGCAAGAATTTTCTATGCTAAGTGTAGAGTCTATATTTGTAGATACAGGTTAAAGGGGAGTTAAGTATAAGACGGTAAATAAACTCACTGCCTCACCGCGTGCCCTAAGTTTCCTAGATCCTATGTACTTAATACCTAGAGTTCAAGCTTAATGTCCTAAAGTCTTGTCTTAAGGGTCTCATCCTAGGGTCAAACTTAGGCTCTGATACCAACTATAACACCCCTAAATTTTAAGATATTTAAAACCTATAAAATAAAGGCTAATCTATTATTAATTCCCAAACAGAGCATAAACTAAACACAGTAGTCGGGGTGCTATGCCACATCTGAGCTAGAGAACTCAGATGGACAGACTAAACTAACTAACAGAGCATAAACTATAATTAATACCCAAATACAAATCAAGGCACGCAGGTTATCTCATCAAGGCTAGAACTATCTAAACTAAGTCCACGAATCCAACTAGCGCGCTCTGAAGCTACTCACTATCCCTGAAAAACATTCGGTGTAACAACCGTCAGCAAATAATGCTGGTAACCCACTCCAACGCGTTAAGTACAATATAGGTAGATATAAGAAACTCATTTTGAAATCAGAATACATATATACTTACGAGACTCTAGTTTAAATCCAAGCTCAATACTCAAGACATATTAATAGACTCAACATCATAGAATAATCATAAGAACTAACAGGCATTCTAAGCATGCAATACAAGACATGACCGGCAGATAAGCATACAAATAACAAGTAGAGGCAACGAAGGCATTCAATACAATCAATTAGCAAGTAGTCATCAAAGCACACAATTCATCCTCCAACCTTATACCAAGTTATAAGGGGGAGATAATTACATTATATATGACAGAAGTTGTGTAGTGTTAAATACTACAGTTTAAAGATAAAAAATACTAAAATAGTCATCTCAGAAAAGACACTAAAGAGTAAAATTTAAAGTTAGTTTTAAAGAACTGCACATATGATATAACATGACCAGAGCCACTTCAGAGAAGTATACTGCCTGGTGGTCCGGAAATTCATTGATCATTTGTACTTTGTAATTCTTAGTTAAGATTAACCCAACGCAAACTGCTTAGAACTCCAAATAGTATGACCAAAGGCTACTAGCTGAGTTAACAATAGAATTAGATACTAACCTAAAGTTCTCTTTCACGGTTGATGACATATTCAATATTAGGTCCATATAATCTGACCATCAAATCCACAGTTTTGCTACTATCTTCCCTTATGGATACTTTCAGTACTGCAGCAAAAGAAATAGTTGTCTCAGGGAAGTTTTTAAAAAGATTTAGGGGCAGTTTACTTGGTTTCTCTGTTTTTCCATTTCTAGTTTTTCATTTCTCCATTTCTCCAGTTTTCTTTCTCCATTCTTCCAGTTTTTCATTTCTCCAATTTTTCAATTTTCATTCCCCATTCCTCTAATTTTTCATTTCTCTAATTTTCTAATTTATTAAATACAATCATTCCATATAGCATTTTTACATTTATACAACGATAATAATAATAATAACAACAACAACAACAATAATAATAATAATAATAAATATGTGTGCATAAGGATGAAGTAAAGGGAAAATTAAAAAAAAAGGAGATAATAATAATAATAATAATAATAATAATAATAATAATAATAATAATAATAATAATAATAATAATAATAATAATAAATATGTGTGCATAAGGATGAAGTAAAGGGATAATTAAAAAAAGGAGATAATAATAATAATAATAATAATAATAATAATAATAATAATAATAATAATAAATATGTGTGCATAAGGATGAAGTAAAGGGAAAATTAAAAAAAAAAAAAAAGAGATAATAATAATAATAATAATAATAATAATAATAATAATAATAATAATAATAATAATAATAATAATAATAATAATAATAATAATAATAATAATAATAAAGGGGAAAATTTAAAAAAAAAAAAAAGATAATAATAATAAAGCAGCAAAACTGACGGCAAAGCAAAGGATTCGAAAGCAACAATTGAAGCAAAGGCGAAGGCGCAGTACAGGATTCAAACCCGCAACCTCTTGGAGAGGTTACTGTTCACACGTGTTTTCTCCATCTCTCCATTTGGAGAAGTCCAAATTTTTTTTCTCCAAAAATGTACATGAAGTTGGAAAATGGAGATGGAGTAAGCATTTGGAAGAAGATATTTGGTAAACAACTTCTCCAATTTTTATTTTTTCCACTTCTCAGTTTTTCCATTTTTTGTTGAGTGCATTTAATTGTTATATTTAATTGAAAATTAATGAAATTTGTTGTCAATTATCATTTTCAAACTATAGGACGACAAACCATTACAATTTTAAATGTAGGTTGCTAAGAGTAAAAAAGGAAAGGGAAGAAATTTGATTTCATTAATCAAACTTGGGTAGAATCTATTTTTCATTTGTAGCTTTCAAATTTTTGTCCTTGAACTTTAGTGTGTAAATTTTCCTTCAAATTTCTAGTTCTATACTGCTTAAAATGAACTTTTCTTGATTTTGAACACGGCATCTTTGTATAAGTTATAGTCAGGATGATAAGAATAAGAGCACATCGATTGTACTAACTACTAAACATCAAACAGTGTCCATAAAAAATAACCACGCACATCCAATGTCCTATATAATGACCTACCTCCCAGGGGCGGTCAGAAGTATGAAATTGATCAACATTTGCTGAAGTGAAAACCCATCTCACATGAATTATCTGATCAGTATCATAATTTGCCCAGAAAATAGAAAAATAAAGCACAACTCTAGCCTTAAGGATTCAAATTCTACCCCAAAAAGATGCATGGTAGTAACAGAAAATAATTTACACTTACTTCCCCTCCACCTCGCAGGGTGGTATAACTATGGGGCTTTACCACATTTTCCCTAGTTCCTGACTTACACAACTCTTTAACACAGAGAGCACGCAACAACGTGGTTTACCCACCACTCCCCACCAATGTCCCACCAATGGTCATTAAATTAAATTGAATGACATTTTGATATTTTTAATACAAAGTGTGTTGACCAGTTATATTTTTTATGAAAAAAAAATCATAATTGAAGAGCGAAATGTCCTGTATTTAACGAAATTTTAACAATTTTTTTAATAAAGGACCAAAATTAATAAACAAGAGTTGGTGTGGCTTGGTGGGTTTAGCTTTGTTTGTTATGTTAAAGGTCTTGGGCTCTATCCTTAACTTATATTTTATACAATCATTGTCTTGGTTCTCAGAGACAATATATAACCAAACTCGTTATATCTTAGATGTTGAGTTAAGTGAATAAGTGTTGGTGTGGCTTGGTAGGTTTAGCTTAGTTTGTTATGTTAGATTATGTTAGATGTTAGAAGTCTTGAGTTCTATTCTTCTTAGAGGTATCCTTAACTTATTTTATAAAATCGTTGTCTTGGTTTTCACAGACAACACAGAAGGAACCCAGTTATATACCAGATGTTGCACTTTGGCATATAAGAGTTTGTGTTGCTTAGTTGGTTAAACCTTAATTGCTATATTTGAGGTTAAAGGTTTGATTTTTGTTGTTAACATCTTTGTTTTAATTTTATAAAACTGTTGTCTTTTATAAAATAATGATGCGCAAAGACAACGGTTTTTTTATAACCGTTGTCTTTGTAGTGTTGTGTATTCTAATACGCTTAAAGACAACATACCAAAGACAACGGTTAAATAAAATCGTTGTCTTAAACAAATAAAGAACGCGCAACGACAACGGTTATATAAAACCGTTGTCGTTGTAGTGTTGTGTATTCAAGTGCTATTAAAGACAATACATAAATGACAACAGTTAAATAAAACCGTTGTCTTTTATAAAATAATAATGCGCAAAGACAACGGTTTTAAAAAACCGTTGTCTTTGTAGTGTTGTGTATTCTAGTGCGCTTAATGACAACACACCAACGACAACAGTTAAATAAAACCGTTGTCTTTTGTTTTAAAAAAAAGAGTGCACAAAGACAACGATTTTAAATAACCGTTGTCTTTCTAGTGTTGTGTATTCTAGTGCGCTTAAAGACAACACACCAACGACAACGGTTAAAAAAACCGTTGTCTTTTTAAAAAAACGCACATAGACAACGGTTTTAAAAAGCCGTTGTCGTTGTGGTGTTGTCTTTTCACAAAATGCACAAAGACAACACACTTATAACAACGGTTAAGTAAAAACTGTTGTCTTTGACAAAAGTGTTGCATCAAAGACAACGGTTTTGGACCAAACTGTTGTCTTTTATATAAAAGATAACAACTTTCTTAAAAAATGTTGTCTTTCTAGTGTTGTCTATGTGCATTTTTCTTGTAATGAATCTTGATTATATTATCTTGCATTTGTAAAGCAATTGCCAATTGGACACAATTTTACCTTATCAGAAATTGATTTAATCTTCTTGCATTTAACTTGAAATCCATGTAGCATTCAAAAAAAAAAAAAAAAAAAACTTGAAATCCATGTATACTATAAATACATATAATTTTTTTTTTTTTTAATATGAGGCCCTAAATAATTAAGGGCTCTGTCAGTCGCAAATGTTAGACATGCTCAGAACCGGCCCTGACAATGATCAAGTGTTTCTTTGTTTGTCCTAAGTCTTAAGTTTGTTATACGAGAGTCGGGTTCTTAACAAGTCATACTAAAGTTATTGAAATGTTTTTAGAATTGAACAATCTTGAAATATGAGGCTAAGAAGTGAAAAATATTGTTGTAAAAGTGGTTTTGATATAAGGAGAATAAAATGTGAATTTCCTACTTTAGCCTTCAAATTTTAAATTTTTTAAATTTTTTTTGTTAGTTTTAACGGTCAGAAACCAAATACGCCACTTCGATCATAACTGAGGAACTAAAAATGAATACGGTCATAACTCAGAGACTGAGTCAAAACTTGGGTATAACTCAATGACCAAAGATGCAATTTTTTCTTTAAATAATTGTATTCGATCCAAATATTATTAATATATTATAACAAATCCGGCGAAAATACTAGTAAAGTTAAAAAGCCAGGAGCTTATTTTGAAAGGCTACTTGAGATAACATTTCAATATAGGCTATTATTTTAAATTTTACATATTTTACCAAACAAAGATAATTAGTGTATACCAATATGCAAAAGCATATTAAAACTGAGGAAATAGGCATGGGGTACTGTTGAGGAAATGGAGCTCTAAGCTTTGCTTAAAGGACTTCAAATGGCATGGGATAGGGTTTTAGTTTAACGAAACACATCTTTCAATTGAAACGATATAACTAACCAATTCTTCTATACCTCTAGATCTTCAATACTTGACTACTAGCAGCTTCCCAGTTTTGAAAATTTTTCAAAAATGTATTCAATTGACATACTAATCTGCAAAAGCACATTAGTACTCGGGATTAATTGCAAGAGGCAGAAAAAAGAAACAGAGATGTAAAGTAGTATGATGATCACATAAATACCTTGCCTCAGTCACCAACATGATTTCCTCAAAAAACATTAGAAAGGTTGTCCCTCAACCAGCATGCATCTTCTTCTCCGGTCTTCATGGACAGAAATCTCTTGAGTAATTAAATCTATTAACAACATGTTCCAGTACCATCTATTAGCAACTTCTGGATACTCGTCTGCAGGTTTCTTCCATTAATGAGGAATCATTGAATTTTAACCAATGAATTTATTTTTTGTATATGCAACTATACAAGTTAAGCCTGACTCTAGAGTAAGCCCAAACCAGGATAGAATTGTATAATTAGTTTGGATAAAATAAAATAAAGTGGGATGTAACGTACTCATTTTTTTTTTTTTTGTAATTGGATGTAACGTACTCTAAATATGCAAAAATTATACAATTGAAAAATCATCACTTGTAACCAAACATATACCATTTTCAAACAATTAATTTACTACACATACCATTTTCAAACAGTTAATTTACTATGAGGCTGGCTCACCTGGCTGGCCAAGTCATCTTACATAGACACTTCTGTATGTATGTGTATTCTTTGAGTCATCATATTCAAGGCCAAGAAAGGATTTTGATTTGTGAAAAGCAAATGAGATCAGAGAAAAGAAATACTATGGGGTGTTTTGGCAAATGGCTGTTAGCTTATTGGATTAGTAGGTTTGACTAGATTATAACATTAACTGGTTGTAGAAAGATGTTTGGTAAATTCTTTTTATCTGCACTTTGATGATCATATCTACCATATATGAGAATTGCCAAGTTCGAGATGTCTCAAGTGTGGTGGCTTCCAAATACTAGATGTCAATGGACAGTTGGTGTTCTACTACCGGAAACAACAAATGTCTCTAAATCTAGATCATTGTACCATTGTGTTATGGATAAACACCACTACCGGAAACAACAAGTGTCTCTAAATCTAGATCATTGTACCATTGTGTTATAGATAAATATCTCAAAAACGCTAAATCCCCTAATTGCATGGGCATATCTATAAAGAGGTGAATGTGAGGCGTTTTTAGATAGCCAAAAAATCATGATAATCATGAATAGATCGAAAATTTTCTGCAACACATTCAATTACCACATCAATCTGTAAACAAAATCAATCTGCAAACAGAAATCAATTGCAAAACAGAAAAGAAAGCTAGATGTAAAGTCATATAGTCATATCATCTTCTCATAAAGGCACCAGATGGATGATAAACTTGCCTGCTACAGCCACAAACATGAATCCTTTGGAAAGCATCAAAATTAGTTAACTCAAGCATACTGGCAACAGGGGGTTTCACCAATGGCAGGAAGCATTCTATTAGCATATGTTGGATACTCTGCAATAGCACTATTCAGCTATCCATTGCCTTGGGAGTACTATATTCACAAAACCGGGTCCCATCATACTGCATCTTTCTATTATCTGGGATTGAGGAAGTTTATCCTTAATGCCCTGCAAATTAAATAAAAAACATTTGGCTGTCAAAGAATATATTTTGAATGAGAAACCAGAAAACTAGTCATGTTTTATAATAGATCAAACAATATATTGCAATATGTCTCTGCATAAGTACCATTTTTCAAAAAGCAGTAAATTCACTGTGAGCTTTGTCAAGTCATCTTCTACATGTGGATACGGTGATTCCTCATATTCAAGCCTGATGATTTTAATCTACGAAAAAATAAGACAACGAAATAAGATTAGATAAAGAAATAGTAAAGACTTTTATAAAGAAAGTAAAAAGTTAAGAATGAAGCATGTTGTACGTAGCTTCTAACCTCAAACATTCTTCATCGTAATGGATGCAGCCCTTCCCGATCTACAAGTGACATAGGGCTCCAAATCATCTTTAATCACCTGCAAATGAGAAACTATTTGTCTGTCAAAGATAAGATACAAAGCAGCATCAGTCTATTATAATTTCTCTATTAAACAACTTTTCATTCTCTATTGGGAAAAGGCATGCTTATTCCACAGGCTCTGCAACTTCTTTGAAGAATACAATTTTTCTGCAAGTCATTTCAAGAATACAATACGTCTGTAGTCTAGAGAATCAGTTACTTAACATAAAATGCTAAAAAAATTACCTTAAGACTGACTACAAGATTTAAAAGCCTCGTTTTTTAAACCAGGATCACTGTCAAATCTTTGATTTGATGCCTTACGAGTTACGAAGTGCCTGAAATGGATGTAACCGATCTCATGAATAAGTTTTTAGAATTACACTTAGCCTTGCAAATCAATACCAATTATCCAAAGGTAGAACGAAATAAACAAACAACTCCTCTTACCTCTAGATCTTCAATACTTGAGCACTTGCAGCTTCCCATTTCCTTGAGACCTTGACAATACTATAGTGACAAAACCAAGTACAGCAATAATTGGCAGAAATGTATCTGTGTACATATACATGAATTTATGTTATTGAATTTGTCCATAGTGTCATCCTTCAAATTCTTACATCAAAAACCATTTCAATCAGTAATGGATATCATGTACTCTACTTTCTCTTCACCATATCCATATCTATAACTTTGCAAATTTAAAGAATCACATAAAACTCGTAACAGAAATAGGAACCAATTTGATATATGATTAGTATTTGATGAATGTGGTTGAATAGTTATGAAATTAAAATACAAAGCAACACCAGTCTAATATAATCGCTGTGTTAAACAACATTTCATTCTCTGTTGGGGAAAAGCATATTTATTTAAGAATACAATTTTTCTGGAAGCTAAGCTATTTCAAGAATACAATGCATCTATAGAAGCATTCAGTAGCTTAAAATAAAATGATATGGATAAAAAAGAACATCACCTGAAAACAGACTACATGATTTGAAAGCAGGAGTCCATGTATCATTTGTAACAACAGTACATTACCAGAAATTCACTCTAAGAAATTCACTTGTGTCTTTGTACTCTGTGATTCATCATATACAGTGCCCGGGATTTTGACCTATGAAAAATCAATGTAGATCGAAAACGAAATAGGAACTGATTTTGTAAAGAAAGTCATCATTGAATAGAAAAGAAATAGAGTAAAAAATCAAGACTGAGTAGCACTTTTGCTTCTAACCGCTAAAATATCGGTTCCACAATCCTGTTGCTCTTCTTGAATTCGTTTGGCATTCCTCCAACTCAATTGATTTCAGGGTGAGAATATCTGCAAACCCCAGAGGGATATCAACCAAATGATTACAGAATCTTAAGATTAAGTGCTCAAGCATTGCAAAGTGATTACGGCAGGCTTCAATTCCCACCACTTCATTTTTTTTTTTTTTTTTTTTCAAGCAACAACAATCTTAATCTATGGAATCCTCTGTTAGATAATTCCCATACTGCTTCATGGAAGGCACTTTCTAACTTGAGCACCACAAGTTGGAGCAACATACCAATCACAACCAAATCCCTTTTAGAAAGATTAGTCTCACTCAACGTCTACTTTTTTAATTGTGAAGGAAACCTAGACCTTTCTGTAAGGGTTACAGCACAGCCAACCGAAACTGAAATAGTTAGCTTCTCAAGTTGTTTCAAATTAAATAGTCAAGATAATCCAAAACAATGGAATTGCGGCAAAATCCACAAGTGTGACTGGCCTCTAACTCATCTTTCAGGAAAATTTTCAGTTTTTTTTTTTTTTTTTTTTTTTTTTTAATGTTAGGTAACTTGTCATACATCTCCTCTCTGCAATGAATTGGTCTGACCACCCAAGATAATGATTGTAAATTCTCTTTAACTTTGCTTGAACGATACACCCTATAAAAATTGCCAAGTTCAAGATGCCTTAACCGTGGTGCCTCCCAAATACTGGATGGCAAATGCACAGTTGCTGCTCCAAACTGTGATTCATTGTTGGAAACAACAAGTGTTTGTAAGTTTGGATTATTTGACACTACATCATCCATACCCTCAAACCATTGTGTTATGGATAGGTATCTTAGAAGAGTTAAATCCCCTAAATACAGTGACACTCTTTGAAGGAACAAGGAATATAGAAGTATCAAAAGCCAAATCTCTTAACACTTTGAGACGAACAAATATTTGAGGATTTTAATGAAAGATGAAAATGGAGCGAGAGATGTTTGTTCTAAAGAGCACATAATAGTCAAAACTCTGTGAGTAAAAACTTAGCCAACGACAGGAATTTGCAAACACTTTTAATGGCAATTCTGAATGCTGTTGAGTATTTACTGCATATGAAATACCTTCTTTCTGAGCTTCTCCTACACAGAAGCTACGCAAGGCACTATGCATTCTACAAGTTTGATTTTGTCGTTAAAACTTTGTTTGTCAATCTCATTTGTAACCTTCAATTAACTTGCCAATCTCAAATCTGCTTAGCAAAAGCAACAACAGAAGGGCTACACTGATCCAACTTAATTGACCACAAGCTCAAATTTTCTGTTAAACACCAAAGCAACTCTTTCATACTTTTTCCATAGAAGCCATTCCCCAAGTCACCGGTAAACCTTTTCAAACTCTCCTCACTACCCTGTTTACACTGAAAAGAATGCAACAAACACATTATCATAAAAACAAATTGCAGAGTTGTTAGCAACTATAGAGGTGTAAGTTTTGTGACATAATTTCATTCTGTGATTCTAGAGAAATACGTTGTCCTCATTTTTTTAATTTCAAACCGATAGTTGTTGGCAAATTGAATGCAGTTCAATAGTTATGAAATTAAAGTACAAAGCAACGTCGGCCTAATATAATTTCTATGTTAACAAACTTTTCATTCTCTATTGGGGAAAGGCATACTTATTTTGCAGGTTCTGCAACCTCTTTGAAGAATACGATTTTTGCAAGAAATTTCAAGAACATGATGCATCTGTAGTCTAGAGCATTCAGTAGCTCAAAAGAAAATGGTTTAAAAAAATCACAAGAAGATAGACCTTCAACATTAGATCTCTTTCACAATGTTTGGTGATAAAAAGCCAAACCAGTATTTTTTGACAAATAGCTCTTGAGCTCATGTTTCAGTACCATCTATTATCAACTTCTATATACTCTGAAGTAGTAATCATAATAACATCGTAGTAAGTTTATTGCATTCATGAGGAATCATTAACTTTTAACCAAAGAAAGTAACTACATGACCTGTTTACTGTCTTGACAATACTACAGTGAGAAAACCTGGTTAAGCAATACTGCATCTTTCAGTTATGTTATTGAATTAGATCATAGTTTCAACTGGACTGCACATTTTCACAGCTAAGGTCCCAGGAAACAACCAAATTAAACCATCAACGTATCTGTAGTTCTGTACAAATAACCAATACCGTTCCCACCCCACCCCTACCCCTACCCCTACCCCGATCTTCTTTCAGGTGATAATTTGGTCAAAGAGTGATATTATTCTAAAAAGTCAATATATCTGTACAAGCCTGACTCTAGTGTAAGCCCAAGCCAGGATTGTATAATTACTTAGATAAAATAAAGTGGGATGTAACTCTAGAAAATGCAAAAATTACACAATTCAAAAATCAGCACTTGTAACCTAACACAGTAACACATACCATTTTCAAACGTAACAGTTATATACTATGAGGCTGCCAAAGTCATCTTACAGACACTTATGTATGTGTCTTCTGTGATTCATCATATTTTCGGTCCAAAATTTTGATCTATGAAAAATAATGCAGAAAACAAAATGAGTTCAGAAAAAATAAAATAGTAAAAACTAAAAACAATCAACATTGAACAGAAAAGAAATAAAATTAAGAATGAAACATGCTTAAGCTTCTAACCTTAAGATTTTTTAATCTTCTTTCCTTTTGAAACTGCTTGGCAGAAGCAACAAGGGAAGAGTGACACCCCTCCAACTCAATTGACTCCAACTTGTAACCTAAAAATTTCTTTGGCATCTGTTCCAAACAATTACAGGATCTTAAGACTAAGTGCCTGAGCATCGGAAACGGATTCCAGCTAACTACCCACTGCTCGAGTTCTTTAGCTTCAAGCAGCAAGAATATTAATTGAAGAAATCCTCCATCAGCTACTTCCCATACTGTTCCATGGAAGGAATTTTCCAACTTGAGCACCATAAGTTGGGGTAACATGGCTATTACATTTAAATCTCTCACAGAAATATTGGTTCCACTCAACTTCAACTTCTTCAGTCCTGAAGGATACATACACTGTTCTGGAAGGGCTGCATTGCAACCAATAGAAACCGAAATGCCAAGCTTCTCAAGCCCTTTCAAATGGTCAAAATTATCCAAAATAATGGGGTTGCTGCAAGATCCACGAGTGTGACTGGGCCCTATGTCACCATTCAAGAAAATTTTCAGCTTTTTTATGTTAGGCATCTGATCATACACTTTCTTTCTGCAATGAATTGGTCTCATCACACAAGATAATGATTGCAAATTCTCTTTAACCATGCTTGGAGGATCCAACATGTATGAATTGCCAAGTTCAAGATGCCTTAACGGTGGTGCCTCCCAAATATTGGATGGCAAATGGACTATTGGTGCTCCGTTACTGGAAACAACAAGTGTTTGCAAATTTGGATTGTTTGACACTACATCATTCAGATCATCGAACCATTGTGTTATGGATAGGTATCTCAGGAAAACTAAATCCCTTAATTGCATTGGCACTCTTTGAAGTGACATAGAAGTATCAAATGCCAAAACTCTTAACAACTTGAGAGGAACAAACATTTTAGGATTTTTATGGAAGAAGAAAATGGAGCGAGGGATGTTTGTACCAAAGAGCACATAATAGTCAAAACTATGTGAGTAAAAACTTAGCCAACGACAGGAATTTGCAAACTCTTTTAATGGCAACCTTGGATGTTGTTGAGTATTTATTGTACACAAAATACCTTCTCTTTGAGCTTCTCCTACGCAAAAGCTATGCAAGGCACTATGCATTCTACAAGTCTTGATTTTGCCTTCAAAACTTTGATCTTCAATTAAGAGAAGGCTTCTATCAATAAGCTCTTCTAAGTACTCATAAGCTTGATCTTCTAACTCCTTATGTTCCAATGGCTTCACAAAACCCTCAGCAATCCACAACCTTATAAGCATTTTAACTAGAACTTTATTTCGTTTTGGGAAGACTCCAAAATATAGAAAGCAAACTTTCAAATGATGTGGCAACGAATTGTAATTGACCAAGAGTGCATTGCGATCTAGAAGTCCCAATGACTCTAATTCCTTTTCAATCTTCTTCCATTGTTGTTGTATGTTGTTGCATCCAGATAAACGCTTTGCAACTTCAACAATTAACTGCGGCAACCCATCACATTTCTCCACAACATGGTTCCTAATTTTTTCAAATTTAGGGGCCAAGTGTTCTTCAATAGAAAGGATATTACAAAATAGTTCCCAACTTTCTTTTGGATCTAGCAAAGTCATGTTATGGATATAGTTGTAGGAATAGTTATATTGGATGAAGTCCCTTATAGAAGTGGTTAGTAATATGCAACTTCCAACTTCAACTTCAGGAATGCACTCTCTGATGTCAATATAAGCTTGATTGCTCAAAGTGTTGTCCAAAACAATTAAATACCTCCTACCACGTAAGCATTCGCGTACCTGCATTTCTAGTTCATCTGGAGTGCTTCCCTTTTCCATTTCAATTGGCCCCGCTGGTGTAATTGACTGAAGAAGGTCACTTAGCATTCTGCTCTTATTGTAGTGTTGAGGAGGAGGAATAGTAACCCAAGCTCTTACATCGAAATGCGATGCAACTGATGGATCTTCATACACATTTCTTGCTACAGTAGTCTTTCCAATACCTACCATTCCAACAATTGAAATTATGTTTAGTTCAGAAGGGGAAAAGAGTTGGTCCTTTATCACTCTACAATCATGGCGACGACCAACCATTCTGCCCTCAGGCTTTAGAAAGCCATGTGAGGATTCATCAGACTCAACATTCACAGACTTAGAAGCAGCATGCTTTAACCAAGTATTTGTTGGTTGAGTTTCATATGCCTCATCAACTTCATTGATTATGTTCAACAACTCTGCTGCACTTTCCGCTGCTTCATGTGTGGTGTGATGGAGTTCCTGGGTAACTTTTTCTTCATACTCTGTGTCTTTGGCCTGAAGAAAATTGTTTAGTTGTATGGCGATGTCATTTCCAGCTTTAAGTGCAAAGTCTTTGATTTCAGTTTCCAAATCTTTCACTGCACCACCACCACTGGACTCCTTTTGCAAAAAGGCTTGCAAAGATGAAATCTTATCACAGAAAGATTTGGTTACTGCTTCATCGTCAAGAAATCCCTGCTCAATTGTTCCCATGAGACTACTTAAAGCAACCAAAGCCATCTGTATCTCAGCATCACTTTCTTTTTCGCTGTTGATAATCATTAACAACTCTGCTACATTTTCAGCTGCTTCTTGCAAGGTTTGGTTGAGTTGGGAAGCTTTTTCTTGATATTCTTCTGTGTCTTCGGCCCCAAGTAAATTGTTTACTACTGTTTGAATGTCACCTTCAGCCTTGAATACAAAGTTTTGGATTACAGTTTCCAAATCATTTATTACAGCACCACCACTAGACTCCTGCTGCAGTAAGGCTTGCAAAGAAGAAAGGTTTTCATACAAGGATATTATTACTGTTTCATCATCAAGAAACACTACTGGATTGGATTGAAAAAAGTAGTAATGAAATATTGCCATGAAATTAGCTAAAGGAACAAGAGCAATCTGTCTCGCAATTTGATGATACTCTTTTTGTTTGGTTATAATCTCCAACAGTTGTGTTGCTTCTTGCAAGGCTTGATGGAGTTCTCTGCAGCAAGGAGGCTTTTCCTGAGACTTTGTGTGCTTGGCTTGAAAAAAGTTGGTTAGTTGTATTTGGATGTGTTTGGCTTTTTGTGCAAAATCTATGATTTTAGTTTTCAAATCTTTGGTTGTAGCACCACCACTAGATTCCTCCACCAGAAAGGCTTGCAAAGAAGAAAGGTTTTCATACAAAGATTCCATTACCACTTTATCACGAAGGGACGCCATTGAAAACTCCATTTCATCAATTCTTGCTCTTAGAGAAGTTAAAGCAGCACAAGTCATCTCCCTCTCTCTCTCGTGCTCTTTTTCTTTGTTGATAATCTGGAGCAACCCTGCCGCAATTTCGTCTGCTTTTCGCAAGGTTTGACGGAGTTCCTGGGAAGCTTCTTCTTCGAATTCTTCTTCATGTTCGGTGTGTTTGGCTAGAAGAAAGTTGCTAAGTTGTATTTCGATGTCATCTTCAAATTTGAGTGCAAAGTCTCTGATTTGGATTTCTAAATCTCTGAGTGCACCACCATCACCATTACTGCTGGATTTGTGTTGGAGAAAGGTTTGCAAAGAAGAAAGGCTTTCAAACAAGGATTTGATTGGTGCCTCAAGATCATCATGATGAAGTAGTGACACCCTTGGGGTGGGTTGCAGAAACTGAAGCTCAATGGTTGAGATGAGAGAAGATAAAGCAACAAAAGCCATCTAGATCTCTGTTTCGCAATCTCACTCTCACTGCGTTTATTTAATTTGTTGGAAAGAATATGTAAAGTGAATTGTTGAATACTTGAATTGAGGCAGGCAAAGTAAGGTAGAGGAAAGTCTTGATTGGGCTAGTTGTGCACTTGTGCGGCAAGTAGTTTAACACATGATTTTGTCTTTTTCTATATGTTAATCATTAATTATAAACAACTCATCAATAGCAAGCCATCCAATGTGGTGGCCTTTTGGTAAGAGCATCACTATCATAGCATATTTGGAGAGAATAGTACAATACCTAATACCTCATGACTTAGAAGAGAGAGAGGGTAAGAGAGAGAAATTTGAGACTTTCCTGCAAGAGTGGGGAGAATAGCATAAAGTAGGACCCATGCCTTCATTTGCTCCACTCCTACACACTGTGCGTGAGGGCTAAAAAAGGCGCCCGCTGGGCGTGTGGGCCCGCTAGGCGCGCCTGACAATCATTAAAATATTATTATTTTTATTTTAAAATTCAGTTTTCCTTTTTTTTTCCATTTTTTCTCTCCCCTCACATCTTGTCTTTCCTAATCACTCTTACATTCTCCCAAACTGATACGGATGCTCTAAGTACCAAAGACACTATTACAGGGGATGAGAATTCAAATTCAATTTAGTTACCGGTAGATAGGATTACAGAAGTGTATATCAAAGTCTACCTCTAAACTCTCCTATCTACTAGGCTATTACATTAGACTTTATCTAACACCACATATTAACTACTATAAACTATAATAATAATAATAACAATAATTATTAATAACACACACACACCCCCTCAAGCGGAAGGATGGTGAGAAACAACATGAAGCTTGTCTCGTAGTGTAGTGAACCTCGGACCTGTAAGCGGCTTGGTGAAGATATCAGCTAGCTGGTCCTTGGTTGATATGAAGTTGACCTTGAAGTCCCCCGTTGCAACCTTGTCACGCACGAAATGATAGTCAATTTCCACATGCTTCGTCCTGGCATGGAACACGGGATTCGCGCACAAATACGTAGCCCCTAAGTTATCACACCACAATGTAGCTGGCTCACCGGTGTGCAGGCCTAGTTCACGCAACAGCGAAACAACCCAAGTTACCTCAGCAGCGACATCGGCAAGAGCTTTATACTCAGCTTCGGTTGAAGAGCGGGCGACAGTACGCTGTTTCCTGGAAAGCCAGGAGATGAGATTAGACCCGAGAAAAACCGCATAACCACTCGTGTTTTTCCTGTCAATAGGACACCCAGCCCAGTCAGAGTCCGAATAAGCATGAATAGTAGTAGTGGAAGAGGCAGTCAGATGTAGCCCATAGTGAAGGGTCCCCTTAATATACCGAAGAACCCGCTTAACCATCGTCCAATGGTCGACAGTTGGAGCATGCATGAACTGACGCAGACGATTAACTGAAAAGGACAAATTCGGCCGTGTGATAGTGAGATACTGAAGAGCCCCTACAATGCGACGGTACTGCGTCGGATTATCAAACAGTTCCGTAAACGGAGTTGCTGAGTGAGTAACTGAAGCCGGAGTGGTCAAGGGTTTACAGTCCACCATTCCAGCCCTAGTAAGTAGATCAGTCATGTAGCGCCGCTGAGATAGAAGCATTCCACTAGGAACATCAACAGTTTCGATGCCCAAGAAGAACCCAGGTTTGCCAAGATCCCGAATTTTAAATACGGTCGCAAGACGGCCCAATAGAGTATCAAGTAGCGAGGTGTTATTGCTCATCATGATGATGTCATCTACATAGACGAGGAGGAAAACCTGTGACGCCTCGGAAGTGAGATAAAAAAGGGAGAGATCTATCTTAGACGAAGAAAACCCTGCAGATAATAAGAAGTCATGCAGCCGTTTGAACCAGACACGAGGTGTTTGCTTTAAACCGTATAGCGAGCGTTGCAGGTGACAAACATGGTTCGGATGAGTAGGATCTTCATAACCCGGTGGTTGTTTCATGTAAATTGTTTTAGCTAGATGGCCATTTAGGAAGGCATTATGAACATCTAGTTGACGTAGGACCCATTTGTTTGTGATTGCTAAGGAGAACAGCATACGAACTGTAGTCGGCTTGACAACGGGGCTAAATGTGTCAAAAAAGTCTTCACCTGCTACCTGATTGAACCCCTTAGCTACTAGGCGCGCCTTATGCCGTTCCACAGTCCCATCTGCGGTACGCTTGGTGCGAAAAATCCACTTGCACCCAATTATATTCATGTTCGGATCAGGCGGGACTAGACGCCATGTGTTATTGTGCAGTAAGGCGTTGAATTCCTGGTCCATAGCATCCCTCCAGTGAGCGTGCCCAACAGCTTGAGAGTAGCAAGTTGGGTCCGCTGTGACGGTGGTGGTTAGGACTTGAAATTCCTCACTATTGCCATGGGTCATGTGCCGTAACCGCATAACATGGCCCCGATCTTGAGGCTGTGCTCGACCCCGACCTCGACCCCGAGGCCTACCTCGTCCACGAGCCATAGGAGCAGGTGGCTCAATGGCTAAAGGAGGTGACTCATGAGCTAATGGTTCAGGATCAGGAACCAGGGCAGGAGTGTACCCAGTACCCTGTATTGGTACTACGGGTGCAGAAGCCCATGGCATGGGCTGTGACTCGTCCACTTGTGGTAAACAACCTGTTGCAAAGGGAAACACATATTCGTCAAAACGAACATGGCGACAGGTATAAGTTTTCCCACTGATTAGATCCATGCACCTATATCCCCTAAAGGATGGTGGGTGTTAGTAATATAATTAATTGTTGCTTTATCTTATACTATATGATTGTATTTCTAGTGGTTGAGATTTAGTCTAATTGTCTAGCCTACAAGATAGGAGAATAATGTGTAGACTTTAATATAGTTTAGACTCTCTCTGTAATTCAATCCTATCAATTCAGATTACTGTTATCTCATCTGGTATCAGTTGCGATAGGTTAGCCCGTTTTCTTTCAAACAATCCCGACAATTGAGATGTCGACTAACTTCTCAGAACGGACCATCACAACCGTCCCTGTCGGTGCTCCGCCGTCGGTCAATACTCTCACGGCGGCGCATCATTTCGTTTCTACTCGGCTCACCATGCGGAATTACTTGTTTTGGCGCACCCAGGTAGTTCCATTCTTGCGTGGGCAGGGACTACTCGGTTTTGTTGATCGCTCCAAGCCATGTCCGGCTGCTACCATCACCATTGCTCCGGAATCCGGCAGCTCCGCCGTGACCACGACAACCACCGCCCCGAATCCTGATTATGAAGCGTGGATACAACAGGATCAAGCTATCCTATCCACGATCATCTCGTCCCTCTCCGACGAGGTGATGCATCTAGCCGTTGGACGAGACACCTCCCGTGAGGTGTGGGACTCCCTTGCGTCTACGCTAGCTTCCACGACGAGAGCGAGGTGCCTAAGTTTGTTGGGGCAGTTTCAAACCCTTCGTCAAGGCCCAGGTTCACCGGCCGACTATCTAGGCCGTTGCAAGGTGATCGCCGAGTCCCTCTCGCTTGCCGGCAGACCTCTGTCGAATGAAGAACAGATTCTATATGTTCTTCGCGGCCTACGCCCGGAGTTCCGAACCATGGCGAATTCCCTCACTGCAACCGGCGCACCCGTGACTCTGACGCAGCTCTCCGACTTTCTCCAAGCCCAGGAGTTCATCCACGAAGATGATTTTGCAGTGGGTGACTCTTCTGGAGGAGGCGGTGCACCGGCCGCATTCTACGCTGGGCGTGGGCGTAACAGTGGCGAGCAGTCGCATAACAACCGCGGGAGAGGGAGGCAGAACCGTGGTGGCAGAGGAGGTGGCGGAAGGCAGGGCCGTGGTGGCGGACCGAGGTGCCAAATATGCAGGTCGCACGGCCACACTGCACTTTACTGCTACAAACGCTACGCGGATCGCCCTGCTGGTCATGCAAACGTTGCTGTTTCCGGCGAGTCCACCGTGCATGGTGCGGATGTGTGGTATCCGGACACCGGAGCCTCATCGCATGCAACTCCGGACGAGCAGATGTTGAATCACTCCAACACGTATACCGGCGGGGATGTTCTAAAAATTGGCAACGGTACAGGTTTGGACGTTTCTCGTATTGGACACACGGTTATCCCATCTAATTCTAAGTCTTTGTCAATGTCCAATATTCTGTGTGTTCCCAATTTAACGTTACCGTTATTATCCGTGTATCGTTTTACAAATGAAAACGATGTTTACTTTGAGTTTCACAAAAATCTGTTTTATGTGAAGGATTGCAAAACTCAGGTGGTTCTTCTTAAAGGGTCTACCTTGGGAGGACTGTACAAGTTATTGGTTCCCCAGTCATCACCTTGTGCTTTCCTGTCTGCGCGTGCGTCCACCGAAGTCTGGCACCAACGCCTTGGTCATCCCCACAATCAAGCCTTGTAAAGAGTCCTAAAACACTGTCCGGTGGTCAACAATAAAACTAGTTTGTCAAAAGTTTGTACTTCGTGTCAATTAGGAAAATCCTCACGATTTCCTTTAAATAGAGTTTTGAGCACTAGTAATAATATATTGGATTTGATTTATACGGACATATGGGGTCCGTCTCCTGTAATTAGTGTGTCAGGATACCGCTACTTTGTACTGTTTGTGGATGACCACTCCCGCTTTTCCTGGTTTTATCCGTTAAGGCTAAAATCGGATATATATAAAATTTTTGAAGTGTTCCGGGCGATGGTAGAACGTCAATTTTCCCGTTCTATCATCGCCATCCAGTCTGATCTAGGGGGTGAATTCCGCCGCCTTCATAAAGTTTTTTAGTCTCTCGGGATTATCCACCGCCAATCGTGTGCCTATGCACATGAGCAAAACAGGCGAGTTGAGCGCCGGAATAGACACATCGTCGAAACCGGTTTAGCACTTCTTGCTGAAAGCTCAACTCCTTCAATCTACTGGGACTGTGCGTTTGAAACTGCAACGTACTTGATTAATTCCCTACCATCTTCCGCTATAAACAATCAAAGTCCTTACTTTCGTCTATATAAAACTCAACCACCATACACTTTCTTTCGTGTATTCGGGTGTCGCTGCTATCCCTATCTGCGGCCTTATAATCGGCATAAGATGGAATACCGGTCGATGCCCTGTGTCTTCTTAGGTTACCCAGTTTCCTATAGGGGATACCGTTGTCTTGATCCAATTACGGGAAAAGTCTTTATCTGTCGGCATGTCCGATTTGACGAATCCATATTTCCCTTTGCTATGCAGTCTGATGAACAGGTTGCAGCTAGCCCATCAACTCCACCTTGGGGATCCGGGCCAATAGTTGTGGGTTCACAGTCCGTGCTCACTGCTGTGGAGTTGCCTTTAGCACAAGAGCCGAGGCCGTTAGCTATTGTGGCTCCACCAACTTCACCCACCAATGCCAGGATAGAACCACTGGTTAGGCGGGCCAGAGGCACCCGAAGGCGGGTCCAAAATATTATACCACATGTCATGCGCACGAGGCGCCAAACACAAGGCCGGGATGAAGAGTTCTACGCCCTAACTGCATCCACCGACCCAACTTGTTACTCACAAGCTGTGGGTCACCCAGAGTGGCGTGAGGCCATGGACCAAGAGTTCAATGCCCTCCTACACAATAGCACCTGGGAGCTCATACCGGCCACACAGGATATGAACATCATCGGCTGCAAGTGGGTTTTTCGCACTAAGCGAAAAGCCGATGGCTCGATAGAACGCTATAAAGCACGTCTTGTTGCTAAGGGGTTCAATCAAGTTGCGGGCGAAGACTTCTTTGACACATTTAGCACGGTGGTTAAACCAACCATTGTTCGCATATTATTTTCCCTTGCTCTCTCTCACAGGTGGACTATGCGACAACTTGACGTACACAATGCCTTCCTCAATGGCCATCTTTCAGAAACAGTATACATGAAACAACCCCCCGGCTACGAAGATCCAACGCATCCTGATCATGTGTGCCGATTCCAGCGCTCACTATACGGGTTAAAACAGGCTCCGCGTGCATGGTTCAAACGGCTCCACGACTTTCTCATCACCATTGGGTTTCGAGCCTCTAAAACGGATGTCTCACTTTTCCACTACACTACGGGTACATCACGTGTCTTTCTCTTAGTGTACGTAGATGACATCATCATGCTGGGCAACGACACGGATCTAGTCACCGCATTGCTGCACCGGCTCTCCGCGACGTTCAAGATTAGAGATCTTGGACAACCCCGGTTCTTCCTAGGCATTGAAACACTACCAGTTGGGGACACCTTGGTTCTTTCTCAACGTAGATACATGAAGGATATTCTCATACGCTCCGAAATGACGGACTGTAAAGCTTTGGCCACTCCAGCAGCAGTCACGAAACCGGTCGCTCCCTCGTCTGATCCGTTTGAGAATCCCACACAATACCGCAGGATTGTAGGGGCCCTGCAGTATTTGACTATCACCCGTCCAGATCTTGCCTACTCGGTCAACAAGTTGTGTCAGTTTATGCATACACTGACTACTGAACATTGGACTTTGCTTAAACGGGTCCTACGGTACATAAAGGGCACACAGGACCTAGGATTACGGCTTACACCTTCGGCTTCCTCAGATCTACATGCCTATTCTGACTCAGATTGGGCTGGGTGCCCGATAGATCGTAAGTCTACCAGTGGCTACGCTGTGTTCTTAGGTGACAATCTAGTCTCTTGGGTCTCGCGCAAGCAGCGCACCGTGGCTCGGTCCTCGACAGAAGCTGAGTACAAGGGTCTTGCAGATGTCTCAGCTGAAGTGACATGGGTTATTTCCTTACTCCGTGAGCTTGGGTTACATTCAGGTACTCCTGCAACACTATGGTGTGACAATCTGGGAGCCACCTACCTAGCGGCCAATCCTGTTTTTCATGCTCGCACGAAGCACGTGGAGATCGACTACCACTTCGTTCGTGACAAAGTTGCAAGTGGCGATTTCCTAGTTAACTTTGTTTCCACCAAGGAACAGCTTGCGGATATCTTCACCAAACCGCTACCGGCCCCACGCTATCAGCTGCTTCGAGACAAGCTCAATGTTGTTTCCCTCCAACCTTGTGCTTGAGGGGGTGTGTTAGTAATATAATTAATTGTTGCTTTATCTTATACTATATGATTGTATTTCTAGTGGTTGAGATTTAGTATAATTGTCTAGCCTACAGGATAGGAGAATAATGTGTAGACTTTAATATAGTTTAGACTCTCTCTGTAATTCAATCCTATCAATTCAGATTACTGTTATCTCATCGTGGGTAACCTAAGAAGACACATGGAGTGGAACGGTACTCGATTTTATTGCGGTTGTAGGGTCTTAGGTATGGGTAACATTGACACCCAAAGACTTTTAAGAATTGATATGGAGGGAGCTTTTTGTATAGTTTATAGTATGGGCTTTCAAAGTTTACAGCAGAGGAGGGTAGATAATTGATTAAGCACGTTACAGTCTCAAAGGCAAAATCCCAATATTGTTGTGGGACCGTCCCTTGAGCAAGAAGAGCCAAGTCCGTTTCGACAATGTGTCTATTGCGGCGCTCAACCCTTCCATTTTGTTCGTGCGTATATGCACAGGATTGACGGTGATTTATCCCGAGAGTTTCAAAGGTGGTATGCAATTTGCGATACTCACCCCCTAGATCGGACTGAATAGATTTGATAGAGCGCGAAAACTGCCGCTCTACCAAGACACGAAACAAATTAAATATTTTATAGATGTCTGATTTTACCCTTAATGGATAAAACCAGGTGAATCGAGAATAATCATCAACGAACAACAAAAAATACCGAAAGCCACTAGACGAGATAATTGGAGCAGGCCCCCAAATATCCGTATAAACTAAATCTAGTACATTTTCGCTTGATTTATCAATTCTATTTAAAGGAAAGCGACAAGACTTGCCAAGATGGCAAGCAGTACATGACTCTAAACTGACATTATTGTGCTGAACTGGACAGTGTTTTAGAATTTTATTCTGAACGACACGGTGAGGATGACCAAGCCTGCGATGCCATATTGTTGGGGTAGCACGAGACGTGAGGAACGCAAAATGACTCCGGGACACGGGTAACTTGTACAGACCTCCGGAGGTAGGACCTTTAAGCAATATTGCATTGGTGTTGGAATCCTTCACAATGAAACAATTTGAGTGAAATTCAAAAAACACATGATTTTCAGTGGCAAATTTCTGGACAGACAATAATGGGACAGTTAAATTAGGGACATGTAACACATTTGACAGAAACAACTGTTTAGACTCAGACGGGATTGATGCATCGCCAACCCGAGAGATTACTAAACCTGTACCATTCCCAACCCGGAGTGTGTCCGGGCCATTGTATTCATCCGAGGTGGTCAGCATGCCTGCATCCGGGGTCGCATGTGCCGTAGCGCCCGTATCGGGATACCACGATTCGGACGGTGGTGGGGTGGTTGCCGGCGATTCTCCCGAAACCGCGACATGTGCCTGAGCCGGCGGTTGCGTGGTGTACCTTTTGTAGCAATACACCGCAGTATGCCCCTGAGCCCTGCAGATTTGGCACCTCGGCACACCGCGCCCACCTCGACCACCGCGCTGGTTGCGCCCGCCTCGGCCGCCGCGATGATTCCGACCTCCGCCATCACCATTCTGCCCAGAACTGCCGCGGCCATTCTGTCCAGTACCCCGGCCAGCGTAGAAAGCAGCGTGCGTCGATCCTCCATTGCCACCACCAGCGCCGAATTCATCTGCAAGTATGAAATCAGCAGCTTGCAAATAATCAGCTAACTGAGGAAGGGAAACCGGGGTGTTGGCGGTGAGGGCAGCAGCGTAGGAGCGGTATTCTGGTCGCAATCCACGGAGGACATACAAATTCTGTTCGGACATGGTGAGCGGCTGTCCGGCTTGCGCAAGGGCTTCTACCAATAATTCCGCCCGGCCGAGATATTCTGTGGGTGTGGCGTTACCTTGTCGAAGGGCCTGGAACTGTCCAAGCAGGTTCAGACATCGCGCCTGAGTCGTGGATCCTAGCGCCGTGCACACCGAGTGCCACACCTCCGCCGCGGTAGACCTGCCAACTGCGAGGTGGAGAACCTCATCCGACATCGCCGAGATTAACAGGGACAAGATGGATTGATCTTGGCGCACCCACTGCTTGTACGCCGGATTCGGCGCCGGGGTGGCGGTTGTCGCATCGGAGCCGGAGTCACCGCCCGTGGTGGTGAGCGTCGCCGGCGGACACGGATGAGTTCCATCAATGAAACCCTCCAATTCCTACCCCCGTAGGAACGGAATGATCTGAGTCTTCCAAAACAAAAAGTTCTGGGAATTGAGTTTCATTGAAATAAAGTGGTGTGCTCCCGCTAATGGATTTGATCCGGCCGAGGATGGGCCATCGACGGGAATGGGAGAGGGTTGGGAGGAATTCGACGACATGGGAATTTTGGGTACGGTGGTTTGCGAATTTGGAGGAGAGAGAAAAGAGTTTTAGATCGATTAGGCTGATACCAGATGAGAATTCAAATTCAATTCAGTTACCGGTAGATAGGATTACAGAAGTGTATATCAAAGTCTACCTCTAAACTCTCCTATCTACTAGGCTATTACATTAGACTTAATCTAACACCACATATAACTACTATAGACTATAATAATAATAACAATAATTATTAATAACACTCACACAGGGGTCTCTTACTTAAAAAGTAGATGAGTCACTGTGCCCTTAGGATGAGAGATTTCACCTTTTTCGTAGGACAAGAAAATACAATGTCTGCAGAATCGGTTAGATTGCATTAAACGAATACAATGCATCCCTGATATAAGAGGAGATGGAAGACCGAGACAAGCAAACTTGTTCGGCAATAATTCACACCTCAATAGCATGAGACAATATGTGACAACACAATCCTACTTTGAAAGCACAAGGCCAAAAGCAATTTAAAGGACCACTTAAAATTGACATAGATTTTATGCAATTGGACACCTTCAATATTGTGCCCAAAATCTTTATGTACCTTACTTACTACGGGTGAGATACAAACCGAATAAAAAGTAAAAAGCTAATAAATAATAATCCAATTGTTATATTGTGCACCAGGGCGCAAGATGCATTGTGCGCACTTGTAAGCATTAAAAAAGATAAATAATATTGTCGAACCGTGGTGGATAATCGATTATTAAATTAATTACTTTAATTAAGCTAATTAGACTGGTATTTATTTAATCGGGTTAATTAAATGGCCCATTAAATAATTAATTAGTTTAATTACTTAATTAAATGTAATTGGATGTTGGATTATTCGGCCCGAGATGATGAAATATTTAATCGAGTTGGACCAGGCTGCTTGGATGAATTGGGTTGCCTAATTAGCGGGCTTGACTTGGTCTTGGCCCACTAAAAATATATGTGGGTTATATAATTTTGAGGGATTTGAATATTTTATATTATTTGGAAATTTAATGAAATCATGAACCTGGATGCATTGGTGTCCCGATACATTCCTTAATTTAATTAAAGAAATTAAATTAAATAAGGAATTAAGAGTTGGTTGGAGATTTTTCCTCACCCTCACCACTATAAATAGTGGGTTCATTTTCAAAGAAAGCTCTGAAAATCTGCATATCGAAGCTCTGCCGAAATCTCGCCGGGATATCGTCTGGAACACGCCCGCAGTTATATATATACTGCATATATTGCGCTGAGGAATACGCCACTTGAACACCGGAAGCCCTTCTTTGAAGATCAAGCTGCATATTAGCCCTTCATTGAAGAACAAGCTACATAACTCCGGAGGCCCTTCAGCAAGGAACTACTTCCAGTTCGGCATACTCCCGAACTCGGCATACTTCCAGTTCGGCATACTCCCGAACTCGGCATACTTCCAGTTCGGCATACTCCCGAACTTGGCATATTTCCAGTTCAATATACTTTGAACTAGGCACACTTCCAATTCGGCATATTCCGGATTCGGCATACTTCCAACAAAGAACTACTTCAAGTTCAGCATACTCTGAACTCGGCACACTTTCAATTTGGCATATTCCAAATTTGGCACACATCTAATAGGCATACTTCTAGTAGAGAATCAGAGGACTTCTCATATACAGAGATTGTACCCCTTCTTGATTGATACACACTACTTGTAACCGATACTTTGAATTTTGAATATATACAATTCAAGTTTTTCGCGTTTACATATTTTGGCACGCCCAGTGGGACAGCTCTGCCTCTCATCTCTCTACTACTGTATCTCTACCTGCGCATCAAATGGCATCGAACAATCCCATGTTCAGGAGGACCTATGCCCAAGCTACCAAGTCCAAGTCTACGCTCGTAGCTAGCTCTGGCACTACCCAGAAAACGCAAGGTCCACTGACAAGGAACCGCGCAAAGGATTTGGGGGTCCAAGTGCCTGAACCTCAGTCCATGGCACGACGGGTGGTTCGAAGGCTCGACAAGACCCCTGCTGCCTCAAAGGCAATTGCTTTTGCTGGAAGTCCACCCTCTCCCAAGGGAGCTACCGATGGTGGTAGTCCAACTTCTATGCAAGGGAATGCTAGTAGCGGGAGCACTTCCCCCGTAACTCCGCCACATTCATTATGGAAGGCTGCACCTGAGTGGTCGCATGTCTACAATGTCATGCCTGCCATGGCGACAAACACGGAGTCTGTGGAGGAGCAATTAGCTAGAATTGCTAAGTCTCTGGAAGGAATGGCTGTCACTCTCCAAAATCAAGAGAAACGGCTTAACACCCTCGATAATAGGGTAGGAAGCATCATGGAGGAGCAAGGAAGTCGAGCTCCAAGAAAGCAACCTGAAGGGCAAGAAGAGGTTGGTCAGCAATCACCACCACCTCATGTTAGCCATGTAGTAGGAGAAGCTGCTTCCCACTTACCTGCAACTGAGAAAACTATTCCAGTTACCGAAGGCATGATACCGGTGGATCAGTTGAAGGACTACATAATGGGGGCCATCAAAGGCAAGTTGGATGGAGGCCAACCTTCATATTCCTATGCTAAGCCCTACACACAAAGAATTGAGAAATTGAAAATGCCCTACGGCTATCAACCTCCTAAGTTCCAGCAATTCGATGGCAAAGGAAATCCCCGACAGCACATTGCCCACTTTGTGGAGACATGCAATGATGCAGGGACTTATGGCGATCTGTTGGTAAAGCAGTTTGTCCGTTCGTTAAAGGGAACCGCATTTGATTGGTACACTGACCTTGCGCCCGGCTGCATTGATAGCTGGCATGATATGGAACGTGAGTTCTTAACTCGTTTCTATAGCACAAGGAGAACGGTCAGCTTCTTGGAACTCACCACTACTCGCCAATGGAAGGGTGAACGCGCCGGTACCTACATCGAAAGGTGGAGGGAACTATGCCTGAATTGCAAAGAAAGAATATCTCAAAGTTCTGCAATTGAGATGTGCATCCAAGGAATGCACTTTGAACTCTCCTATATCCTACAAGGGATTAAGCCAAAGTCCTTTGAGGAGTTATCCAGTCGTGCTCACGACATGGAATTGAGCATCGAAGCCAGCGGAGGGCTCAATATATTGAACTTGCCTAGCTCCTCCAATGCACCTGGAAAACAAGAAGTTAAAAAGTGGAACAAACCTTTTCCAAAGCAGGAAAAGAAAGAAGTGATGAACGTGAAAGCTACTCCTATGACAGTCTTCACTAAGGCAACTGAAAGGCCTAGGTCAAGATCATTTTCTGGCCCGTCAAGGGGTGGTAGAAGGCCGACAATTGAAGAAAGGCAGGAGAAGACTTATCCTTTCATGGATTCCGATGTATCTCCCATGTTTGATGAGCTACTCAAACTTAGGCTCATTGAGTTGCCTGAAATGAAACGTCCCGATGAAGCTACAAGGGTGGATGACCCATACTATTGCAAGTACCATCGTCTTCTTGGTCACCCGATTGAGAAGTGTTTTATCTTCAAAGATAAAGTAATGGCACTGGCCAGAGATGGAAAAATCGAGCTTGCCGATGCCAAAGCGAGCTCAAATCAAATCTCGATTACACCCGGACGGTTCGCTCCGCTGTGTACTGAAAAGGAAGATGGGAAACAACGAAAGCGTCAACTCCCCTTCATTGTTAAGCACGCTGTCGGTCAAAGTTCAGAACCGCAGCGGAATGATAACGCATCCGAAGGTAAATGGGTGATTGTCACTCATAGAAAGAAGAAATTCGAGCATGTGAAGCATCAAAAACACATAGTGAAAAGTTGGGTTGAGAAAACCTCAAAAAGTACTCATGCCCGCAAATCAAGGACGAAGGGGCATGTCAAGCAACCACGAGCACCAGTTTCTTTGGCTCAATATATGCCAAAAGGATTTGATCTTCAAGGGGCAGGCACTTCTAGCTCCTGCCTAAATACAAATGACAAGCCAGAAGATGGAGGTGAATGTTCATCTCCTAAACACATCGAGGATGAGGAAGTGTTAATGCATAAGGCTACTTCCTACTCCACAGAAATTACCTTCAAGGATGAAGACTTGTTACTTGGAGGCACGCCACACAATCGCCCATTATTTGTTGAAGGCTACACCCGTGGGCAAAAACTCAAAAGAATTATGGTTGATCAAGGCTCAGCTGTCAACATCCTATCCCTTCGAGCTGTGAAGGACCTTGGTATATCTACAGATGAGCTTGCCCAAAGTCGTCTAATGATACAAGGCTTCAACCAGGGAGGGCAAAGAGCAATCGGCATCATCAGACTTGACTTAAGAATTGGAAGTCTGAGTTTAGGTGTCCTTTGCCATGTCATAGATGCAAGGACATCTTATAACTTGTTACTTGGAAGGCCATGGATACATGAAAATGGGGTGGTACCCTCGTCTTGGCATCAGTGCCTCATGTTTGAAAAGAACGGCGTAGTTGAAAAGGTGGTCGCCGACGAAAGCCCTTTCACAGAGGCTGAGTCTTATTTTGCAGACGCAAAGTTCTACATTAAAAGGCAAGTTATTGTTGAAGATATTGAGGAAAGCCATGACGATCCACCTTCCCAATCAAGGTCAAAGGGAAAACAAGTTGTAGGGGGAGATCAGCATAACACGAAACTCATCTTCCCGCTTGCAAGGATTGATACACTCAAAGCAAATGCAGCAAAATTATCTGAAGATAAAGGTAGTGATAAAGTGGGCCAAACATTCCCCGCCAAGCGTACTGAGGGTTTCGACCCTAACGCTTATAAGCTTCTAGCCAAGGCTGGCTATAACCCCACCGAGCCACAGAAATTGGGAAAGCTTATCCCAGAAGCCGGTGGTAAGGGCAAAGCAAATCACCAAGAACCTCAAACGCGCAAAGGGTTGGGCTATGTTCCCCCTAAACCAGTGCGAATTCTTATAAACAGGGCTGCAAGTAATTGTATCTCCGCGGAGGGAAGCGAGTATGACCCAAAACTCACTCCTACTAATGGTAATGGGCAAGACAAAAAGAAGTCAGTCTTCGACCGAATTGGTAAAGCGGATTCTCGACGCTCAGTCTTTGATAGACTGGGGTCAAGTCCTAAAGCCCTAAAGAGAAAGTCGATGCATGATCGACTTGGAGCTGTCCAAGCTGTTAACGACAGTGCCAATGTTCCTGCTGAAGTGGAACCTCCAAAAAGGCTTAGAAGCATGATTCCTTCTCGTATGAGACGAGAAACATATATTCATGTTACATGCGGTGAAGTATTGAAAGTCCAACCGAAGACCATTGTACACACTCGAGTACATAAAGAGGAAAATGAGGAAAGCGTAGGCTCAAGTGATGACGTACCACCAACCACTCAGGGAGAGGTGGCATCGTCGTTCCATATCACGTTATGTGATGAGACCCCGATTGAGGGGGAAGATGCAGAAGATGCACCCCATGAGTTAGAAGAAGGGGTACGAGCCGCGGTGGACGAATTAAAAGAAGTTGATCTGGGAACGCTTGAAAATTCTCGTCCTATCTTCATTAGCGCACTCCTATCTGATGAAGACGAAGAAATCTATGTCACATTGCTGAAAGAATATATTGATGTCTTTGCATGGACATACAAGGAGATGCCAGGGTTAGACCCAAAGGTAGCTGTGCACCGCTTAGCAGTGAAGAAAGGGTGTCGCCCGGTCAAGCAAGCCCAACGACGCTTCCGCCCCGAGCTCATTCCCTCGATTGAAACAGAAGTTAATAAGCTTATTGAGGCTGGCTTCATTCGTGAAGTTAAATATCCAACCTGGATATCCAGTATTGTGCCCGTGCGGAAGAAGAACGGCCAGATCCGCGTCTGCGTAGATTTTCGGGACCTCAATGTGGCATGCCCGAAAGATGACTTCCCGCTTCCTATCACGGAGTTAATGATAGATGCCGTGACTGGGCATGAGATCCTGTCATTCATGGATGGCTCCTCCGGTTACAATCAAATCCGCATGGCGCCGGAAGATGAAGACTTAACAGCATTCCGAACGCCAAAAGGCATCTACTGCTACAAAGTAATGCCCTTTGGTTTGAAAAATGCAGGTGCTACATACCAAAGGGCTATGCAGATAATATTTGATGATATGCTCCATAAAATGGTCGAATGCTACGTAGACGACCTGGTTGTGAAGTCGAAATTGCGCACAAATCACTTGGCGCATTTAAGGCAAGTCTTCGACCGCCTACGAAAGTTTCAACTGAAAATGAACCCCCTGAAATGTGCTTTTGGGGTTGCTGCTGGAAAGTTCCTCGGGTTTACTGTTCGACACAGGGGCATCGAGATTGAACAAGCAAAGATTGACGCCATAATGAAGATGCCTGAGCCGAGAAACCTTCATGAGCTTAAAAGCTTACAAGGGAAGTTGGCTTACATCCGAAGGTTCATATCAAACCTAGCGGGAAGATGTCAACCTTTTAGTCGATTGATGAAAAAGGGCATTCCATTCATATGGGATGAGGCATGCAAGAACGCATTTGAGAGTATCAAGTCATACTTGATGAAGCCGCCTGTGTTAACTGCTCCTGTTCACGGTCGCCCGCTGATCCTTTATATCTCCG